ATAGTAGTGATGATATTTGTCAAAGTAAAGTTAACTATTTCCACACACACACACACACACACACACACACACACACACACACACACACCATTAATATAGTGCTCACCATAAATAATTAACTAACCATATACAGCCCCCATAAAATAATCACCATTTACAATTACCTTTCCTAATTGTCATATTAAACTACCATTCACAATCACCATATTAAACCACCACTCATAATCACCATATAGGATCACCACTCACAATAACGACTCATATAGTGATTACCATTAATACGCAACAATCAACTTCCCAACAGCCCACAACGGCATATCATAACAAAGCTATAACGAGTAATTCGCTGTCACAATAACCAATTCATTAACTGGTATTGATGTGTGGTAGGTGGTGGTGAGAGTCACACACAAACACACACGCCATAAGAATATCATTAACATTCATCCACACACAAAAAAACAGATATATTATTAATATTTCCAAATAAAAACACCGATTTGCTCTCCCACTACACACAGCATTGGAGTTACCTAAACGAATTTTTTACATCAATTTATCGCATTCAAATATGATAACTCTTTAGCATATAATCTGTACTGAACTGCTGTGTGTGTGTGTGTGTGTGTGTGTGTGTGTGTGTGTGTGTGTGTGTGTGTGTGTGTGTGTGTGTGTGTGTGTGTGTGTGTGTGTGTTTATAATGATAATATTCGTATGATATTCGTAGTGTATGTGCTATTATTATTATTATTATTATTATTATTATTATTATTATTATTAGTAGTAGTAGTAGTAGTAGTAGTAGTAGTAGTAGCATTTCCAATTCATCTCAACAATGATAAATATCCACGAGAATCTTCAAACATTTCCCAGCATAAATATTTCTCATTCATCACACGATATTTCACCTTCACGGACGAAAGATAAAAAGAAATATTAAAAAAAAATATATCCAGGTAAAATTTCCGACTCACTATTCAAAATTCTTTCTGTTTGAGTAATTAATATGATGTATGTGAAGGTAAGCTTTTGTGAGGCAATTAATTAATGAGACTTGGGAAACAGCTTGGCTTATGTCCAGCAGGTGAGGTAACTACTGGCTCGAGAGAGAGAGAGAGAGAGAGAGAGAGAGAGAGAGAGAGAGAGAGAGAGAGAGAGAGAGGAGAGAGAGACAATGCAGATAGAAAATTAATATGTAAAATGGAAACGATTGTATAATTCACTGGTTATCTATCTCTTCCTCTCCCCACTCTCCCCACACCTCCCTCACTCCCCACAGGACTCTCACCTCTCCCCACCTCCACACACCTCCACCACTCCCCCTCACCTCCCACAAGACTCTCACCTCTCCCTCACTTTCCCCAGGATCCCTCCCCACTCTCCCACAACTCTACCTCTCCTCACCTCCCACACAGGACTCTCACCTCTCCCCACTCCCCACAGGACCTCACCTCCCACTCTCCACAGGACTCCCTCACTTCCCCACTCTCCACCCCCCCCTCCCTCCTCCACCTCCCCACAGGACCCCACCTCTCCCCACTCTCCCACAGGACTCACCTCCCTCACTCTCCCACAGGACTCTCACCTCTCCCTCACCTCCCCACAGGACTCCCACCTCTCCCCACTCTCCCACAGGACCTCACCTCTCCCTCACTCCCACAGGAACTCTCCACCTCTCCCTACCTCCCCACAGGACTCCCTACCTCCCTCACTCTCCCACAACCTTACTCCTCACTCCCACAGGACTCTCACCCTCCCACACAGGACTCCTCACCTTCCCCACTCTCCCACAAGACTCACCTCTCCCTCACTCTCCCACAGGACTCTCACCTCTCCCTCACTCTCCCCACAGGACTCTCACCTCTCTCTCACTCTCCACAGGGCACGGCGCAGGTACAGAACGTAACACAGGGGGGGATCTTAGCAGGTGAGTCACTAGTACTGCAGAAGGTTGGACGACGACAAGCTGGCCAGTACACGTGTGCCGCCACTAACACCATCACCACCACTACCAGCCCGCCAGTGACACTCAGGATCAAGTGTGAGTAGTCTACTGTCCTATTCTACTGTCTGTGTCAGTCTACTGTCCTTATTCAACTGTCTGTGTCGTCTACTGTCCTCCCTGTACTGTCTCGTGGGGTCTACTGTCCTTCCTGTACCATCTGTATGATCTACTTTCCTCCCTGTACTATCTGTGTGATTTACGTCTCCTGTAAGCATACTGTCCTTGCTGCACACAGTCTGTTTTCTCCTCTAGATAAAAGTAAAATTATCAAAGGTTCTTACGTTAAAATCCTGTTAATTTTTTTAGCAAGATAGTGCAGCTGACTGGTTAAATTAAGCTATGGGACGATGATGACTTTTCAAAGGTTAAGTTCAAGTTTATTTCTCTGTACAAAAAAAAATTATCCAATTAAATTTCACCTGTTCAATTAAGACACAAAGGTAGATTGTCAAAGGTTCTTACATTACACGATCCTCTCTTTGTTAGATCTGGTAAAAGTGCATCTTACTTGTGATTAAGGCGCGATGATAATCAATAGTTTTTTCAAAAGTTTTACCTCAAAAGTTTAAAAAATTTCAAAGTTTAAAATTTCAAGTTTAAATTTCAAAAGTTTAAAATTAAAGGTTTAAATCAAAGTTTAAAATTTCTCAAGTTTAAAAATTTCTCTTAGAATCAAAAGTTTAAAATCAAAAGTTTAAATTTCCTCGTTAAAAGATTCTCAAAAGTTTAAATTTAAAGTTTAAAATTTAAATTTCCTGTTTAAAATCAAAGTCAAAAGTTTAAAATTCTCAAAGGTTTAAAATTAAAGGTTTAAAAAATTCCTCAAAAGGTTATATAAAATTCCTTTATTTAACACGTAATTTAAGAACATATCGAAGTCATTTACACAATATAACGTTAAAAATATATTGTTGTAACTAAACATCGGTGGTCTAATGGCCTGGGAGAAGAAGCTTGGAGGCAGGATGCACAAGGCCGGATTAGCAAGGTCAGATTAACAAGGCCAGATTAGCAAGGTCAGATTAGCAAGGTCAGATTAACTGGTGTGTGTGTGTTGCGGTGCGGCCTCACTACCTAGACCCGTTCACCTACACACAGGAACAGCGATCCCGAGAATGTGTTAATTAATACGATGCTTCTATCCAACTCCTTCCTCCTCCTCCTCCTCCTCCTTGCCTCCCTGCCTTCCCTCCTCTTTGCCTCTCTTCCTCCCTCCCTCTCTCCCTCATCCTTGTCTCCCTCTCTCTCTCCTCTTTGCCTCCCTCCCTGCTCCCTGCTTACTTCCCTCCCTCCTTTTTGTCTCCCTCCCCTTTTCCTTCTTGCTCCTCTTTCCCTCCTTCTTTCCTCCCTCTTGCCTCTCTTTCCCTCCTTGCCTCCCTTCATCCTTCCCTCCCTCCCTCCTTCCCCAGGTCCGTAGCCTTGCCGGGAGCCAGAAAGACAGCTAGGTCGATTACTCAATTATCAAGGGAATTCTCACACACACCAAACAAACCACCTTGCAATTATAGCGTGTGTGTGTGTGTGTGTGTGTGTGTGTGTGTGTGTGTGTGTGTGTGTGTGTGTACTATCATCTTTCACTCTGTATCTTTCACTACCTCCTCAGACACGCCAGAGTGCCTAACGTCCCCAACTACTTACTTCATCTACGATAAGCCAATCAACATCACCTGCACCGTCTCCTCATACCCGGCCGTCAAGAGCATCCAATGGCAGTGGAACAATAGCAATGAGATCATCAGCGAACAGCCAATCACCGAATCGCTAGACAGGGCATCAGCACAGCTCACAGTGAACCCCGTGGCTAGTCCAGAGGATCGGGCACTCTCCTGTTGGGCGGTCAACGAGATGGGTAAACAAACAAAGCCGTGTGGGTTCTCTGTGAAGGTGGCCCGTGAGTATAGCTATTATATGATGCCGCGTTTAGCGTAATTTTACAACCTCTTTCAGTGTTATTTACAATCTGTTTTTGTGTTATTTATAGCCTTCTTGAACGTTATTTAGTGTAATTTACAACCTCTCAGCGTTATTTAGCGTAATTTTTCAACCTCTTTTAGTGTTATTTACAACCTCTTATAGTGTTATTATGGATAACCTCTTATAGTGTTATTTACAACCCTCTTTAACGTTATTTAGCGTCATTTTCAACCTCTCTTAGCGTTATTTAGAGTAATATACCACCTCTTTTAGCGTTATTTAGGATCATTTACAACCTATTTAGCGTAAAATAAAGCCTTTCTCTGTCTGTCTGTTTGTCTCATCTACTCTCTCTCTCTCTCTCTCTCTCTCTCTCATTAATACACCTGGCCATGGTCGTGTTACAGAGACGCCGTTGCCGTTGTCGTCGTGTCGTCTGGCCAACATCACCGCCTCCTCCCTTAGCCTTACCTGCCAGAGACCTGACGTCACCGCTGCTGGGATGACACTCTACAGAGCCGAGGTGGGTCTTGCAGAGCTCTATGTGGCCTCATGAGGGTCTTACAGAGCTCTATGTGGCCTCATGAGGGTCTTACAGAGCTCTATGTGGCTTCATGTGGGACTTACAGAGCTTTATATGACCTCATGAGGGTCTTACAGAGCTCTATGTGGCCTCATATGGGACTTGCAGAGCTCTATATGGCCTTATGAGGGTCTTACAGAGCTCTATGTGGCCTCACGTGGGACTTACAGAGCTCTATATGGCCTCATGTGGGTCGTATAGAGCTACAGTACATACATACATACATACATACATACATACATACATACACCTTACTATGAAACAAATACAAATCCGTATGTTCCCTGAGCTTGTTTTTAGAACGAATGACGTCATAGGCAAACAAAAAACTACAAAACAAATACAAAGAACGGATGTCAGCGAACGAACAATATGTTTACCTTTGAAATTTTTCCTCTCAATATGTAAACAGATATGTAAACAGTTCCAGAATTTGGGCCGTGTTTACATTACTTCTTGTGTCACCAACCCTAGGAATATTTTTTTTGTTTTCTTCTTTGTTTTGTTTTCTTTCTATTGTTTATTTGTAATTTATAAGTTGTTATTGTTTTTTTTTATAGTTTTTTTTATATATACAAGAATGTTCGTATATCTCAGGCTGTTTTCTCTATGTATGTATGTATGTATGTATGTATGTATGTATGTATGTATGTATGTATGTATGTATGTATAAGACCTCCCAAATATATAACAACAATAGGTAGAGAGACAGATAGCCAGACAGTAAGAGACAGACAGACAGAGACAGAGTGACAGGGAGACAGACTGAGTGAGAGGAAAGCAGACAGAGTGAGAGATAGAGACAGAGTGAGAGAGACAGACAACGTAAGAGGCAGACAGACAGAGAGAGAGAGACAGAGTGAGAGACAGTAAAAGGAAGCCAGACCGACAGAAAAAGAGAGAGGTAGACATATAGACAGATTAAGAGACAAACAAACAGACAAAAACACAATGACTAAGACAGAATCATTAAACCTCCAACATGAAAAACAAAAAAAAATAACAAAACCCGTAAATATCGTAATGTTTGTGTACACGCCAGGGTAAAACTCCCACCTGTAGCTCCACCCACGACCAGGTGATATACCACGTCTGAGTGTTGGTCATTGATTCAGGGTCTCAGAGTGGCGATTTGTCTTTCAGTTTTGGTTTTTGAAGTGAACGATGTTGGTCACTTTGCATGAATGAATATAAAACAGCTTCTGGCCTAGTTCCAAGAGATGTAACATTCTGAGGGAGGGTGATGGAAGGAATAGTGCCAAGGAATAATGCCACGTGTCCTACATATCACAAAAGGGTCAGGGTGCCAAGGAATAGTGTCACGGATCCTTTCATATCAGGAGGGTGAGGGTGCCAAGGAATAGTGTCACGGATCCTTTCATATCAGGAGGGTGAGGGTGCCAAGGAATAGTGTCACGGATCCTTTCATATCAGGAGGGTGAGGGAGCCAAGGAATAGTGTCACGTATCCTTTCTCATATCAGAGGGTGAGGGTGCTAAGGAATAGTGTCAAGGATCCTTACATATCAGGAGGTGAGGGAGCCAAGGAATAGTGTCACGTATCCTTTCATATCAGGAGGGTGAGGGAGCCAAGGAATATGTCACGGATCCTTTCATATCAGACAAGAGGTGCCAAGAATAGTGTCACGTATCCTTTCATATCAGGAGGGGTGAGAGCCATGAATAGTGTCAGGATCCTTACATATCAGAAGGGGTGAGGGTGCCAAGGAATAGTGCCACGTATCCTTTCATATGAGGAGGGTGAGGGTGCCAAGGAATAGTACGTGACCTTTCATATCAGAGGGTGAGGGGTGCCAAGGAATAGTGTCACGATCCTTTCTATCAGGAGGGTGAGGGTGCCAAGGAATAGTGTCACGGATCCCCATATCAGAGGGTGAGGGTGCCAGAATAGTGTCACGGGATCCTTACATATCAGGAGGGTGAGGGAGCCAAGGAATAGTGTCACGTATCCTTTATATCAGGAGGGTGAGGGTGCTAAGGAATAGTGTCACGGATCCTTTCTTATATCAGGAGTGGGTGAGGGTGCCAAGAATATGTCACGGATCCTTTCATATCAGGAGGGTGAGGGAGCCAAGGAACAGGCCACGGACTTACATATCAGGAGGGTGAGGGTGCCGGGCGAATAGTGTCACGGATCCTTTCTTCTATATCAGGAGGGTGAGGGAGCTAAGGAATAGTGCGTCACGGATCCTATATATCAGAGTGGTGAGGGTGCCATGAATAGTGTCACGGACTTTTCATATCAGGAGGGTGAGGTGCCATGAATAGTGTCACGGATCCTACATATCAGGAGGTGAGGGTGCCAAGGAATAGTGTCACGGATCCTTTATATCAGGAGGGTGAGGGAGCCATGAATAGTGCGTCACTGATCCTTTCATATCAGGAGGGTGAGGTGCCAAGGAATAGTGCCACGGATCCTTTTATATCAGGTAGGAGGGTGAGGGTGCCAAGGAATAGTGTCACGTATCCTTTCATATCAGGAGGGTGAGGGTGCCAAGGAATAGTGTCACGGATCCTTTATATCAGAGGTGAGGGAGCCAAGGTCAGGGTGTCACGTATCCTACATATCAGGAGGGTGAGGGTGCCAAGCGAATAGTGTCACGGATCCTTTCATATCAGGAGGGTGAGGGTGCCAAGGAATAGTAAATACGTATCCTTACATATCAGGAGGGTGAGGGTGCCAAGGAATAGTGTCACGGATCCTTTCATATCAGGAGGGTGAGGGAGCCAAGGAATAGTGTCACGCATCCTTTCATATCAGGAGGGGTGAGGTGCCAAGGAATAGTGTCACGTATCCTTTCATATCAGAGGGTGAGGGTGCCAAGGAATAGTGTCACGGATCCTTTCATATCAGAGGGGTGAGGGTGCTAAGGAATAGTGTCACGTATCCTTTTCTCATATCAGGAGGGTGAGGGTGCCAAGGAATAGTGTCACGGATCCTTCTAAGTATCAGGAGGGTGAGGGAGCCAAGGAATAGTGTCACGTATCCTTTTCATATCAGGAGGTGAGGGTGCCAAGGAATAGGCCACGGATCCTACATATCAGGAGTGGTGAGGGAGCCAAGGAATAGTGTCACGGATCCTACATATCAGGAGGGTGAGGGAGCCAAGGAATAGTGTCACGTATCCTTTTCATATCAGGAGGGTGAGGAGCCAAGGAATAGTGTCACGTATCCTTACATATCAGAGGGTGAGGGAGCTAAGGAATAGTGTCAATGCATCCTTTCATATCAGGAAAGTGAGGGAGCCAAGGAATAGTCACGATCCCATATCAGGAGGGGAGGGTGCCAAGGAATAGTGTCACGTGATCCTTTCATATATCAGGAGGGTGAGGGAGCCAAGGAATAGTGTCACGTATCCTTTCATATCAGGAGGGTGAGGGAGCCAAGGAATAGTGTCACGTATCTCATCAGGAGGGTGAGGAGCCAAGGAATAGTGTCAATGATCCTTTCATATCAGGAGGGTGAGGGAGCCAAGGAATAGTGTCACGTATCCTTTCATCAGGAGGTGAGGGTGCTAAGGAATAGTGTCACGATCCTTTCATATCAGGAGGGGTGAGGGTGCCATGAATAAAGTGTCACGATCCTTTCATATCAGGAGGGTGAGGGTGCTAAGGAATATGTCACGCATCCTTTCATATCAGGAGGGTGAGGGTGCCAAGGAATAGTGTCACGGATCCTTTCATATCAGGAGGGGTGGAGGGTGCCATGAATATGCCGGATCCTTTCATATCAGGAGGTGAGGTGCTAAGGAATAGTGTGTCATGCATCCTTTTCATATCAGGAGGGTGAGGGTGCCAAGGAATAGTGTCACGGATCCTTTCATATCAGGAGGGTGAGGGTGCCAAGGAATAGTGTCACGTATCCTTTCATATCAGGAGGGTGAGGGTGCCAAGGAATAGTGTCACGGATCCTTTCATATCAGAGTAGGAGCCAAGGAATAGTGTCACGTATCCTCATATCAGGAGGGTGAGGGTGCTAAGGAATAGTGTCACGGATCCTTACATATCAGGAGGGTGAGGGAGCCATGAATAGTGTCACGGATCCTTACATATCAGGAGGGTGAGGGAGCCAAGGAATAGTGTCACGTATCCTTTCATATCAGGAGGGTGAGGGTGCCATGAATAGTCACGGATCCTTTCATCAGGAGGGTGAGGGTGCTAAGGAATAGTGTCACGGATCCTTACATATCAGGAGGGTGAGGGAGCCAAGGAATAGTGTCACGGATCCTTTCATAATATCAGAGGGTGAGGAGCCATGAATAGTGTGTCACGTATCCTTCATATCAGGAGGGTGAGGGTGGTGCTAAGGAAGGTGTCACGGATCCTTGCTATATCAGGAGGGTGAGGGAGCCAAGGAATAGTGTCACGGATCCTTACATATCAGGAGGGTAGGAGCCAAGGAATAGTGTCAGCGTATCCTTTCATATCAGGAGGGTGAGGGGCCAAGTGAATAGTGTACAGTCACTGATCCTTTCTTACACGTGGAGGGTGAGGGTGCCATGAATAGTGTCACGGATCCTTTTCTATATCAGGAGGGTAAGGGAGCCAAGGAATAGTGTCACGTATCCTTTCATATCAGGAGGGTGAGGGAGCCAAGGAATATACGGATCCTTTCATATCAGGAGGGTGAGGGAGCCAAGGAATAGTGCTTCGATCCTTTCATATCAGGAGGGTGAGGGTGCCAAGGAATAGTGTCACGATCCTTTCATATCAGGAGGGTGAGGGTGCCAAGGAATAGTGTCACGGATCCTTTCTATATCAGGAGGGTGAGGGAGCCATGAATATAAATACGATCCTTCTATATCAGGAGGGAGGGAGCCATGAATAGTGTCACGGATCCTTTCTATATCAGGAGGGTGAGGGAGCCAAGGAATAGTGTCACGTATCCTTACATATCAGAGGGTGAGGGAGCCAAGGAATAGTGCTCTGATCCTTTCATATCAGGAGGGTGAGGGAGCCATGAATAGTGTCAATGGATCCTTTCATATCAGGAGGGTGAGGGGTGCCAAGGAATAGTGTCACGGATCCTTTCTATCAGGAGGGTGAGGGTGCCAGAATAGTGTCACGGATCCTTTCATATCAGGAGGGTGAGGGTGCCAAGGAATATGTCACGATCCTTTCATATCAGGAGGGTAGAGGGAGCCAAGGAATAGTACGATCCTTTTCACACAGGAGGGTGAGGGAGCCATGAATAGTGTCACGGATCCTACATATCAGGAGGGGTGAGGGAGCCAAGGAATAGTGTCACGGATCCTTTCATATCAGGAGGGTGAGGGAGCCAAGGAATAGTGTCACGCATCCTTTCATATCAGGGAGGGTGAGGGAGCTGCTGAATAGTGTCAATGCATCCTTTCATATCAGGAGGGTGAGGGGAGCCAAGGAATAGTGTCACGCATCCTTTTCATAATAGGAGGGTAGTGGAGCCAAGGAATATGCCATGCATCCTTTCATATCAGGAGGGCGAGGGAGCCATGAATAGTGTCACGGATCCTACATACTTCAGGGAGGGTGAGGAGCTACAATAGTGTCACGTATCCTTTTCATATCAGGAGTGGTGAGGGAGCCAAGGAATAGTGTCAATACGTATCCTTTCATATCAGGAGGCAGGGAGCCATGAATAGTGTCACGGTCTTCTCATATCAGGAGAGGGTGAGGAGCCAAGGAATAGTGTCACGGATCCTTACGCATATCAGGAGGGTGAGGGAGCCAAGGAATAGTGTCACGGGATCTCATATCAGGAGGGTGAGGGAGCCGCTGAATAGTGTCACGGATCCTTTCTACTGTGAGGGTGAGGGTGCAAGGAAATAGTGTCACGGACTTACATATCGTGAGGGTGAGGGAGCAAGGAATAGTGTCACGGATCTCATATCAGGAGGGTGAGGGAGCTAAGAATAGTGTCACGTGTATCCTTTCTCATATCAGGAGGGTGAGGGAGCCATGAATAGTATGTCACGTATCCTTTCATCAGGAGGGTGGTGAGCCATGAATAGTGTCACGTATCCTTTCATATCAGGAGGGTGAGGGAGCCAAGGAATAGTGTCACGTATCCTTTCATAATGGAGGGTGAGGGAGCCAAGGAATAGTGTCACGTATCCTCATATCAGAGGTGAGGAGCCAAGGAATAGTGTCACGATCCTTTCATATCAGGAGGTTGCCAGCGTCACGTATCTCTTCATATCAGGAGTGCAGGACAGCGAATAGTTGTCACGTATCCTCATATCAGGAGGAGGGTTTCAAGGAATAGTGTCACGTATCCTTTCATATCAGGAGGGTGAGGGTTTCGGGCGAATAGTGTGTCACGTATCCTTCTATATCAGAAGGGTCAGGTGCCAAGGAATAGTGTCACGGATCCTTACATATCAGGAGGTGAGGGAGCTAAGGACAGTGCCGATCCTATATCAGGAGGGTGAGGGTTTCAAGAATAGTGTCACGGATCCTTACATAACAGAGGGTGGTGGAGCCAAGGAATAGTGTCACGGATCCTTGCTATATCAGGAGGGTGAGGGAGCCATGAATAGTGTCACGGATCCTTACATATCAGGAGTGAGGGTGCCAAGGAATAGTGTCACGTATCCTTTCTCATATGAGGAGGGTGAGGGTGCTGAAGGAATAGTGCCTACGTATCCTTTCTCATCAGGAGGGTGAGGGAGCCAAGGAATAGTGTCACGTATCCTTACATATCAGAGTGGGGTGAGGAGCCATGAATAAAGTCGCGACCTTACATATCAGGAGGGGTGAGGGTGCCAAGGAAATATATTGCCGATCCTTTTATATCAGAAGGGTCAGGGTGCCAAGGAATAGTGTCACGTATCCTTTATATCAGAAGGGACAGTGCCAAGGAATAGTGTCACGGATCCTATATATCAGAGGGTGAGGGTGCCAAGAATAGTGTCACGGATCCTTTCATATCAGAGGGGTCAGGGTGCCAAGGAACAGTGTCACGTATCCTTTATATCAGAAGGGTGAGGGTGCCAAGGAATAGTGTCACGTATCCTTTCTCTTCATATCAGAGGGTGAGGAGCCAAGGAATAGTGTCACGTATCCTTACATATCGAGGGTGGTTTTCGGCGAATAGTGTCATTATCCATATCAGAAGGGTCAGGGTGCTATGAATAGTGTCACGGATCCTTTTCTATATCAGGAAAACAAAAGCCATGAATATGTCACGTATCCTTTATATCAGAAGGGTCAGGGTGCTAAGAATAGTGTCACGGATCCTTTCATATCAGGAGTGGGTGAGGTGCCAAGGAATAGTGTCACGGATCCTTTTCATATCAGGAGGGTCAGGGTACAAGGAATAGTGTCACGGATCCTTTCTGCAATAGGAGGGTGAGGGGAAAAGCAAGGAATAGTGTCACGGATCCTTTTATATCAGGAGGGTCAGGGTGCCAAGAATAGTGTCACGGATCCTTTATATCAGGAGGGTGAGGGTACAAGGAATAGTGTCACGTATCTCTACATATCAGAGGTGAGGAGCCAAGAATAGTGCGTCACGGATCCTTACATATCAGAGGGTGAGGGTGCCAAGGAATAGTGTCACTGATCCTTTTATATCAGAAGGGTCAGGGTGCCAAGGAATAGTGTCACGTATTTTTATATCGTGAAGGGCCAGGTGCCAAGGAATAGTGTGTCACGGATCCTTACATATCAGAGGGTGAGGGTGCTAAGAATAGTGTCACGGATCCTTTCATATCAGGAGGGTCAGGTGCCAAGGAACAGTGTCACGTATCCTTTATATCAAGGGTGAGGGTGCTAAGGAATAGTGTCACGTATCCTTTCATATCAGGAGGGTGAGGGAGCCAAGGAATAGTGTCACGATCCTTACATATCAGAGGGTGAGGGAGCCATGAATAGTGTCACGGATCCTTACATATCAGAAGGGCCAGGTGCCAAGGAATAGTGCTCACGGATCCTCATATCAGGAGGGTCAGGTGCCGGGGCGAATAGTGTCACGTATCCTTTATACTAGAAGGGTCAGGGTGCCAAGAATAGTGTCACGGATCCTTTCATATCAGGAGGGTGAGGGTGCCAAGGAATAGTGTCACGGATCCTTTTCATATCAGAGGGCCAGGGTGCCAAGGAATAGTGTCACGGATCCTTTCATATCAGGAGGGTGAGGGTGCCATGAACAGTGTCAATGGATCCTTTATATCAGGAGGGCCAGGTGCCAAGGAATAGTGTCACGGATCCTTTTATATCAGGAGGTGAGGGTGCCATGAATAGTGTCAATGGATCCCTTTCATATCAGGAGGGTGAGGGAGCCATGAATAGTGTCACGGATCCTCTCATATCAGGAGGGGTGAGGGTGCCATGAATAGTCCACATATAACCGAGAACTCACTAACTGGGGACACACTTCAAGACTGACCTATAATTCACACACACACACACACACACACGCACACACACAACAACAACAACAACAACAACAACAACAACAACAAGCTCCCAACACCAAAAACATAAACAACACCAAAACAAAAACAACAAGAATAAAAATAACAACAACATAAGAGTGACAGTCATCGTATCACACTGAGTTGGGTGTAACAATATGAGGGCAGGGGCGGCTTTCTGAAGCTTATCTGATCTCTGCTAATGGACTGTAGAGAGAGAGAGAGAGAGAGAGATCGGCCCCTTAGGTCAAGTGATCCAGTTTCCAGTAATAACATTGAGAGATAGAGAGATGTTGATTGAGAGAGACCTAGATATGGAGGAAGAAAGAGACAGTGAGGGGTAAACAACTGAGATACAGATAGAAAAAGTAACAGAAGTGATAGAAAGGGTGAGACAGAAAGACAGAATAAAAGAGACAGGCAGGCAGACAGAGAGATAGAAAACCGAAAGAGTGATATACAGACAGACAGTCAGACAGACAGACAGACAGATTGCGAGAGATAGAAAGAGTGAGAGAAAATGATAAAAATAAAATTCTTGGATCGAGACAGAGAAGATCAATAATGAGCCGCAAGTAGACAATTGACCCTAACGTCTCTCTCTCTCTCTCTCTCTCTCTCTCACCTAGAGTGACTGGCTAGTGGTGTAACTCTATGGTGATGGCAACCCACGTTTCACTTACAATATCTACCTATATATATATATATATATATATATATATATATATATATATATATATATATATATATATATATATATATATATATATATATATATATATATATATATATATATTGCATCTCACATTCCTATCCTTCTATGACCAAAAAAAAATCTGAAGGGCCGCTCAAGACGTCAGAGAAGGTCAAGGTGATTGACTCAAGACTCGTTCAAGGATGTCTCAAGGAGTTCTCGAGAGCCCCTGGGTTATATTTATCCCTTAACTGGAGACAGGAGAACTTAGGAGAACTTTATTATTGATGGTAGAGTCTAAGGGAGTTTTATACGCCATTTTAAGTTAGTTATATCTTAGTAGATTAGCCTAAGCCTCCGATATATTTGAGAATAAGGACTTACGGTGTATTGGATAAGGTAATTTTTGTCTTTTGTTTGTTTTCCTTATTTTATTGGTTTCTTTTATTTTTTTCTTCATTTTGTTATTTTCTCTTCTCATTTCTTTCTCTCGTCTTTCTTCTTTTATTTTCTTCTCCTGTAACAATATTTTTTTCAATGTAATTCTTCTTCTTCTTCTTCACGTATACCACACCCCCTAAGTATACTACACCCCCTCCTCAGTATACTACACACCCCCTAAGTATACTACCCCTCTAAGTATACTACACCCTCCTCAGTATACTACACTAAGTATACTTCACCCCTCCTCAGTATACTACACACCCTAAGTATACTACCCCCTCCTAAGTATACCACCCCTCAGTATACTACACACCCCTAAGTATACCACCCCAGTATACTACACCCCTCCCCAGGTGTACTTCGAGAACAGGACGCTCTTCGCCAACGTGACGTCACATCGGCCTAACTTCAACGTGAGTCGGCTGGACGCTGGCACCAGTTACCAGATCAAGGTGCATCACCCACGGTCCTGTGACCTCCAGCCCGTGGTGGTGTCTGCCTATACCTCCAGGACCTCCAGGACCTCCACAGGTACGTGACCTCCCATCCTGACCTGCCCGTGGTGGTGTCTGCCTATACCTCCAGGACCTCCAGGACCTCCACAGGTGTGACCTCCCAGCCCGTGGTGGTGTCTGCCTATACCTCCAGGACCTCCAGGACCTCCACAGGTACGTGACCTCCCAGCCCGTGGTGGTGTCTGTTTATACCTCCAGGACCTCCAGTTCCTCCACAGGTACGTGACTCATGGTCTGGTGACCTCCTAGCCCGCGGTGGTGTCTGCCTATACCTCCAGTACCTCCATAGGTACGTGACCTCTCAGCCCATGATCTCCAAGAGACAAAGAAAGACAGACAGACAGACAGCCAGACCAAAATACATACATACATACATACATACATACATACATACATACATACATACATACATACATACATACATACATA